CTTTGACAATAAAAGCAGAACCTTGGAGGAGTTAATCTCAAATATTACCTATCTTTGCATCCTTTGGTCGGTGAATTCAAACCTATTTAAAGGACTTTCAGTCAATGATATTATCAGAAATATTCACTCCTTTCTGTTTCTGCCTCATCCTCAGCAAACTCCCTTGAGGCATCCCGTTTCCATCAGTGAAGGTGTGATAACCCTTAATGTTGACGGTTGTGCCTTAGGCAATCCGGGCTTTGCAGGTATTGGTGGTATAGTAAGGGACGAAAGGGGCAATATCTGCTGGACTTTTAGTGGCCCAATCGGTTGGGCCGACTCCACAAAGGCTGAAGTGATGGTTGCTCTCACCGGAATCAGGATAATTAAGAATTTGAGTATTCAGAATTTGATCATTGCAGGTGATTCAGCAAATACAATAAAATGGTTAAGAGACAAAAAAGGGGGCCCTTGGAGACTATCACTATCTGACTGAAGCATGGGATTCTTTGGATGGATTGAATGTTAACTTAGTTTGGATTCCTAGGGAATACAATCATACTGCAGATGGCCTAGCTAAATTTGGTGTGTATTTGGAGCATCTGTATAGCGACAAGCTTCCTCCTTTGTAACTTGCAAGGGTTCCCCCCCTGTTTTGTATATCTCCTTTTGTYCCCCCCCCCCCTTTTATTCTCAATAAATCTTGGTTAAATTTTCTCCTATGAGAGGATGAAGCACATTGATGTAAGGTACCACTTTGCCTGTGATGTAGTAAAACAAGGAGATATCATTGTGAAGAAGATTGGTACTACAAATAACCCAACTGATATGTCAACAAAGTTCCTTATTGTGGCTAAGTTCAAGCATTGCTTGGACTTGATTGATGTTTGCAACATTTGAGTTTGCCCATTGGGGCTTTTGTTGGAGAAGCTGGAGGGAGATTGCTATTTTTTCTGATGCTTGAGAGAATTCAAGCCAAGGTGGAAATTTTTTATAGTTGTGCCTTGAATTCATTGTTGCGACCCGCTTCATGAACCTGCTCCAAATTAAGTTGAGAAAAACTTGAAGGTAAAATTTCATGGCGGCCCAAGCCCTACACTTCCACCACAAATCACCATTGGGGGTGTGGGGGKGGAGCCCTTGTGGCGGTACAAACCCAATCCATATTCAGCTTATGGATCTAAACCGAGTACAAAGAGTTATTGTATTTTGGGGGTTTTCTCTCTTGTATACTTGGTCTTTGTCTTGTGAGAAAGTTGAGAGACTTTGGGTGTATTTGGGGTTTAGGGTTTTCTATGAGTGAGGTTGTGAGTGCACAGCTCTGTATTCCTTTCCCACAGACGTAGGCTAAGGCTGCAACTTGGGTCGGGTTAGCCCGAACCCAACCCGAAAAAAAGTCAAGTCGGGTTGATGCTCAGGTTAGGGTTGAAATTTATGAACCCGGCTTTACTTCGGGTTGGGTTATGGTTGACCCCTTGGGTAACCCGACCCAATCTGAGCCCAACTCTATAGTACATATCATATATAAATATATGTTATATATATGATCATACATTGATTTGTTTAGATGCATGATAGTTGTATGGCCACTACCACATACTATCATTTATTCCATTTAAGGTAATCACTTCACTTAATCATAATTGGAAATACTAAAACCTTGATAACATATTTTATGTTTTCTGAATATTTTATTCTTTATCTCCTCTCTGTTGTTTGCCACCCATAGATTGCTGCCCATAAAAGATCTATTATAAGTCATCATATAAACTATAGTCATTTCAAACACTTTTTTCTGAATTTTGTACTTAAAGAACCAATAAAAAATCAACAAACAAATACTAATAAAACATAGGATTAATATATGTAATGAAAGTTGAGTTAAGATCTAAGATTAAGAAGTTCTACCAGATTTTAAGGGATGGGAAGAAAGTTGGGTTGGGCCCAACCCGAAGTTGACTTTGGGTTGGGTTGGGTTGGGTTGGGTTAGAGTTGAAGGAATTTAGTTAGGGTTAGGGTTAGGGTTGGGGGTTTAGAACTTAGGGTTGGGCTAGGGTTGGCCTCAACCCGACCTAACCCAGCCCGACTTGCAGCCCTAACATAGGCTATAAGTCGAATCACATAAATCTATGTGTCCTCTTTGCTTGCTTCTGGGGGTGGACACGAACCGAGCTTTTCACGAGCTATTCGAGCTCAACTCGTGAAAAGCTCGGCTCAGCTAAGCCCAATGTGAGCTTCAAACCAAATTCGAGCTTTATATATAGCTCGTATGTTAATCGAGCCGAATTCAAATAGTTTAAAGTTCAGCTCGTTAAGCTCGCAAGCCTATTCGAGCCTCTATGTATATTGGCCATTATATATATTTATATGTATATAATATTTATACCTTTTGTAAGAATTTTATTGGTGGGGATACAATTGTATGGTGGTCCCATTCATGTAATAGATTTATTCTATAACTAAAGAGAGAATAGAGAAGGAAAATCAAAAAACAAAAAACCTTCAATCAACTCTTTCAGAGCTCAACTCTCAAGTCTCAAGGACTCAAGACTCTCAACTCTCACAGGTCACAGTTGATGGTCTTAGACTCTCACCTCTCACCTCTCACAGCTGACGTCTGACACCCGAAAGATTTTCTTTCTACCAACGGTTTGAATCAATTTGTCTGTAACTACTCTTAACGACTTCTTTGTCCTTTCTACAGTTGGGACTTAGAAGTTGAAAGGATTGATTCGTATTTGGCTCCCATCAAGACAAGGACCACCGTCCCCATTAAGGGTTGAAAATCAAAGGCTTCAAAGCCTCACAAGCTCACATTCAAAGGTAGCGCCCAAATTAAACAACCCTTTAAAGAAATGCCATGAGCTGCTTTTCTTGTATATGTGTGTTTGTTTCGATGGTGTTATCCAATTGAAAACAAGACAAATTGGGAAGAAGTTCACATTGAGCTGACTCTATTCTATTTGAAGAAATCTTCTTAATATGTAGTAGCCAGTACTTGTTTGATTGATTTGTATTGGCCGGAATCCTTGTTGTTGTATATGCAAATGGATGCCTAAGCAAGTTGTTCACTTGTACTACTCTCTGGATTGACAAGAATAGTTTGTTCCTTCAGACTTTTGCTTTGGGTATTTGAATATTTATTTGATTGATTCATGTATGATATTGACCAACCCTCCTTTTAATGAAATGTTTTTTCATATCAAAATAATAACAAAATGCAGAAGGAAAATCTGTGGACAAGTATGTGGAAAGTAACAGAAGAATTACATTACAAATTTGCAGAAAATGGGATTAGGAAAATCTGTGATACCAGAAAGGCTTGACCAATCAAACCCCATGAATTTTGATGAAAAACCCCACCTAAATGATTACTACTTTTGTGATGCCAGTTGATTGGTTGTATGTTTTTCTAGTATCATTTCTTTTAGGCATCATAGTCAAACATGGGATTAATGTATATTATTTGATGGTTTGGATAAACTTGAATGAGTTAGGCTTTCATGAAGTTGCACATCTTGGGATGGACTGATGCAAAATTTGCACCACTTCCCTCCTACATCAGTTCTCTATCATATGAAGTGTAGCTGTGTAGGCCACACCATCTTGCTTATTAGTTATTACCTCACTTCCAAACAAATAAACCATCTTCCTACTTCCAATCTCTTTCATATAAGGGGGAACACCCATCATTTTACTTCTCACAAACAAATAATACGAAGTTAAATCTAAAACAAAAGTAATTAAACCAGAATCTACACTCAATCTGTTTGCACTTCCATCCATTTACACCAATGAATTTTGGTTTTACAGGTCTCTTTGACTTTCTGGGGTGCTGCTTAATCTCTCTTGGTTTTGCTTACTCCATATTATTGTCTTTCTGGATAGTGCTTAAATCATCTCTGCTTTTGCTTATCCTGCATCTTGGTTTTACAGGTATTGTTCTCTCTGCCACTCCCATGTTTTGATTTTTGGATATTCTTAATGCACTCCCAAGGATTTATAATGATTCAGCATTATTTATTCGTTTGGGTAATAATCACAATGGTTCAGCATACCTGTTTCACATGGTGGGATTTAAAATTTAGATCCTTCAACAATTCTCTCATCACCCAAAATATAGGAATTATTGAGAAAGATTAGCCTTATTTTATTTCAATCTGTATATGTTGATTTGAATGCTGAACCAATCCATCTTTATTCACTAATTATATTATAACAGGTTTTGAAATAATGGTATTATTATAAATATTGTTTGATTTATCATAATCATATAATGGTATTATTATAATGGGTCCATGACCATGAAAACCCTCTTTGAAATATGAAAACAGGTTTATTAGGAAGCTCGAATAGGTTCGGTTTATTATTGAGTTCGAACATATAAAATCTTCAATCGAGCCAAACTCAAACTTATATTTCTAGTTCGAATCAAGCTCAAGCCCTGTATTTTTCTGCCGAGCTGAGCTCGAATACTCAAATACTTGGCTCGGCTCAGCTTGAATCCACCCCTACTTGCTTCTCTTTATCTGTGTTTTTCTTTCGTTTTTTTGGGTGCCATTCAAATCTGTATTTCTAGGTTTTGTGCAACAAATACAAATCTTCCCTATTGACTCCTAGCCTTGCAAGTGAGTCAAGCCACATTGTTCGCTCTTTGCTGATCTATATGTGCATCTCCAAACTAACCCAAAACCATGCATTCCAAAGATATGCACATTGCAATAGAATTACATAATGAAAACCCACTACACCCTTAGATAAATCTCAGACTTTGGAGGCCTTCAAAAAAAAACATTTTTGATATTAGACCCCAATTAAAAAAGCAGCTCTAATCCATACAAATTTCAAATATACATACAAATGCAATGTGTCTGTGTTGCATATATGTATGTGTCTAGCCAAACAAACCCAAAATAGGCAAATATACAATTATTAATGATTCACCAAGTCCAAATGCACATATATAGTTCAGATCCAGCAAGATAAAAGCTACTAAGGCAAATCACTGGATGAATCATCACCTCACTTTCAGGATGTAGACGTGACTGCAATATAATAAGTATAGTTTGTAGGGTCTTAAACTGCACATTCTCATCAGCCATTTCAGCATGCTAAACAAAAAAGACAAAGTTGGTTAACTAGTAAAAGTACTCATGCCAAAGAAAACAGGGAAATAAAGGATGCAACAGTGCAAAATCAGCATGCAACTGAGAGTAAATATATATTCAAGATACTTTTGATAATGGGGAGACCCCCTAATTATTGGTTAAAACAAGTACATATTTTAGAAAACAAAAGCATACCCATATTTTTTTTATCAATACAAACAGTGGTTTCTTTGTATTTTCACTAGAGATGTTAGGACATACTCAAATCATTCCCCAAAATAAATAACACCAAACCAAAACTTTATCAGGTATATTCTGATTGGTACTGTTATTTTACAAGAGCTAACTGCATCAGACATGACTACTGGAACAATGGATCTTTTCTCTCTTTTTTTAACAATTAAAATTAAAAATATAGAAATAAAAAGGCTCCCCATCTCTTTCTTCTCCCTTCTGTCTTCTTTTTTCTGATATGTAAAGAAAAGATTCATAAATTAGTCAAACCAGAAAATTATACAAAGAGTCTTCCCAAAGAGAGGCGCAAGATGCAGCCTCAGATACAAATCAGATTACAATTGAGCCTAAAACATATGCTCCCTATGCACCCCTTGCTTAGCCAAGTAAACAGCCATTCCATTGATTGACAGGCCTCCTTTGCCAAAGAATCCTTACAGTCATGTTAGTGATTAACCATTTAAATCTTTCACAGCTTCCCTGTAGGTCCATATAACAGTTTCTAGACTCGCTAACCATCCAACTACCAGTTTGGAGTTGCACCAATTATCAACCTGTCAACATTCAACTCTCCAGCATACTGTCTTATCTGTTCTGGCTTTCTGCATATATTTCTCTAACCAATGGTTACTTAGTTCATTGTTAACTTGGTAGAAATTTTGGCTCACACTTTTACGAACACGGTTCTTCAAGGGAAGGTGTCTAAAGTCTTTCTCTTTGTTTCTTGCTTCCATACATCTTTAGATACAATCATACAAAAGGAGTTCTTTTTTTTTTTCCTATCACAGCAAGATGTAAAATCTGTATGTATCTGTTCATGCAGAAATACAAAATAAGATGACAACAATGATGATAATGATGATTACAAGGACTATGGTGGAGATAAACCAAGAGAGCACTAAATTAAAAGGTTGCATATGCAATAACCTCTTCATTTCTTTCCAGTTTCATTTTCTGAACACGGCTTACTTCTTTTCTGTCTTTTTAATAGGTATTTCTTTTCTCTTTTTTTCTTTGTATCATTTTATTTCTCAAATTAAGAAAGCTTGGTTCTTAGCAGAACAATCCAAAGAGTACATAACACCTTAGTTCGGATTTTTTGGAATACAACCAGGGCTATTACCTTTTTTCAGTACTGAAGTGAAAGCACAAGGCCCCAAGGATCAAAACAGAAGAAAAGCTGAAGCTATTCATCAAACCACAGGATCCTCTATACAAAGTGAGCAAAAAGGACCCCAGTACAGCTCATTTCTTAACATATTCACTCTCTGGCAATGTAGTTCATCCAGAGTTCAAGGGTGTGTCAAGAGCTTCATTTGGAAGCCAACTTTGTACTGTCTTGGACTTGATGAACCTATTTATCATGTAGAGCTGTAGAGTCTCTTTAAGAGATACTTTTGTTTTAGTTCCCAAGTGTTCCCTTAACACTTCTTTATATATTTCCTTCTCAATTAATAAATTTTTTTACAATACCATAAAATAACTTACTTTGATTGATAACTTGATCAATATTTTAATAATTATTGAAAACATATGTAAGTTAGCCATAGCAGTAAGCACATTTAACTCCTCAGCCAGTTCAAAGATCACTCCTCCTTGCACCCAAATAAACTTATTCGACTTTCCTGCTGATCTATGGCCGTCATTTTGTATGTCTTTTGGGCAGTACTCTCCCCTACTCTCGATACTTTAATATAATACCATTTCCATCTTTCAAAAAGAAACATAAGTCAGACTAAGTTGCAATTTTAGTAAAATATCGGTAACAACAATGGTGCATTTAGGATTGATGTATCAGGAGATACTCCAAACCAATTGCTTCCAATACCTTGGATCAATCATCCATAATGAGAGAGAGAAACTAAATAGGATGTTGCACATGGAATTAAAGTAGAGTCATCCAATGTGTTGTTTGACTAGCATGTACCTATTAGACTAAAAGAAAATTTTTATAATACAGTTGTAAAGCCAACAAGGCTAGATGGGACAGAATGTTGGATGATCAAGCAACAACATATCCAAAAAAATGAGTGTAGCTGAGTAAGGACATTGAGATGGGTAAGTGGCAAGACTAGAAAAAACAGAATCAGAAACAAGCACATCAAACAAAACTTAGGAGTAGCTCCAATTAGCGACAAGATGAAAGAAAGTTGACTGGGATTGTTTGGCCAATGACTGCACCAACAATGAGACTTAGTGAAAGTAGAAAGCTCTAAACAAGCAATGGGAAGACCAAAGAAAATGTGATCTTAAGTGGTAAGAAACTAAGGACTTACAATTTGACAGGAAACATGGCTCTTAGTAGAACAAATGGCTAGACAAGATTCATTTAGCTGACCCCAAATAGTTGGGATTAAGGCACCACTTAGTAATGGCTGAAGTGGCTGAACTGAAAGTAGGTTCTGAGTTCCTTAATGGCTTAATGGTGTGTTGGGTTTACTTGAATATTTTCTTCTATAACCATATTATCCACTAAAAGATAAAGCAGCAAGTCATTCAATTCAGCCACTTCAGCTGTTATCAAATGGCCCCTAAGCAGCAAGTATATTGCAGTACTAGTATAAAAAAAGAAAAGGATAGAGATGAGGGGCCCCAAGGAAAAAGACATGGTATAGGATGATGCATATACAAGATATATGATGATGTTTACAACATCCTGGTACTGTACTGTATCAGTAAAAATGTTGACAAAATCTTGGCAAATGAACATCTTATCATAGAGATGGTCCATACCCTAGATAAAGCCTTGTCCCAACTATATCATTATAGAGCAAGTAATCTTTAATTAAGAGGAAAGCAGTTAGGCTGCAAAGGTGCCTCTTCGTTCTCTTTGGCATGATGCTGGTAACAGGATTTCTCCAACATAATTCAACTAAGTCCACACTCTATACCACTTGGAAGGGAGCTATTCGGTGATGGAGGAGAACCCTCTCAAAGTGCCTCTCAAATGCCATTTGTCAGGGCCTTGAAAGAAGTCCAATTGAAGAACTTTTTGAATCCATTAGGTACATTCCAAGGATTGTAAGCATACAGGATAGTTTACATTTTGGTAGACTGTAGACCATCTTCTTGAAGGAGTTGAGACGATTCAACATTCAAGTGGGAAGACTCTAAGAAGAATTGCATCAGGGAATATTTGCTCACCCAGTAATTGGAATGAAATCAAATCTCCTTTTTTCTCTTACAGATACCTTAACCCTGATAGTGTGGATCCCAAAGAATTATTGCATAGGGTTGTACTAGAAAAGGAGCAAAAAAGGCAGTCTTGTATAGTAATAGCTCCTTGCCTTCTTAATTTTAGTATAGAGGAGGGCTATCTTTTTCTTCTTCAATTAATGTGGATCCCCTGATGCGCAGTTTTTTCTCCAATGTACTTTCTTCCCCATAAACCATACCTCCTCTGTTACAACCCATCAACCTATATGCACATAGATGCATAAAAAAATAAAAATTAAGGAACAATGATAGATAAATAAAAAAAATTTAAGAAACTATTATATCAAGGCATTTGCATATGCAAAGTTGATTTCCAAGTTAATACCAGGAACCAGCGTACTTCTGCAAGCTCCAAAAGTCCAAATTTGCAAATCTTGACATTTGATTATCAGAAGAAATCCATTTTGCTCTTAACATTCAGAATGACATGAAATTGGAGATAATAATCTCAACAATATTAGAATGATGAAATATAAGTATATGAGAATTGAGATTCTTACATCTTTGAGAGTAAGCAGAATCTCCTTCAGAGCTGATGGCATAACAGCATCATGAGATATCAGCTTTTGCAGACAGGAAAGTCCAATGACACTTAGCTTTACAGATTTAACCTCACAAGCCATCAGGAAGATACGCAGTATATCCTCATTTTGAGCAATTTCACTAGGACTAGACAATGAACGGAGCTGCAGGTCAACAACCAAGTACATTAAGAACCCCCATGAGGTAAAGTTATCAATCCTAAAGAAGAAGGTTATCTATTTTCCTTCTCACTGACCGCAAGGAATCACATTCTTTTTTTTTATCAGAGGAAAAACCAAATATTCTCATATTTTGATTGGTAAACATCTTGTATATATATATATATATATATATATATATATATATATCAAAAGAATCAGTATTTTTCAGCTACAAGTAACCAAACTCCAGTTGTAAATACATAGTGCTTTTATTTACTGAGAAATTATACAGTCGCTAGCTGGAGTTCTCATCAGTGCTACGTTCATGAAGTAAGTACTATCTTAGTTGACGCGCATCCAACAATTCACATATAAGTAAAAATTGTTTATCTTAATTATTTACACATAAGAAAATGTGGAAAAGATAACGCTGAAATTCGCTCTTTGAATCTGTGAATGACTCGAAAAGTATATGAATTAATTCTTTTCTTTATCTTGGATTAACAAGGAAAGAGAAATTTCCATTTCGACTAAGTCTAAAATTAATAAAAAATAAAATAAAATCTCCCTGCAACCTTCTCCAACCAATGATCGCTAATTACTCTCGATTTCCATCCCGAGGAAAAGTTAAAGAAGAAGAACCGAAGCAATTGAAGTTCAAAGATCTATGTGAGTCCATTGCTAACCTTCAGAATTGCGTGCTCCGCACCGTCCTTGACGGCCGGATACCTGCGACGAGCTTCAGCAGACAAAGCGCGTAGATCTGATTCCAGAACCGCCATGAAAGCCATTCTTGAAGTCCCGCTCCCGCTTGGGTTTATTGGTGAGCACACTTTAATCTTCCATCATCGAAATTTATCAGGGGATTTTGGAGGGAACGAACAGTGGCATTTGAGATCGAGAAGCACGGAGATGATGACTGCAACGGGGAACCCTTTTCTCTGTTAATTGTGAGGGAGTGGCGATCTACGAGAAATGCAATCTTTGGACTTGGAGCATGCTACACGTGCGAATCGCACGAGAAGAAAAGCAGTCCTCTGCTGCTGTGCGGCTGCATGTACCAGACTACCAGTACCTTCATCCAGGGGCCAGAGCTGAAGGACATGCTTCGTTCCGCCTTCGGCCATCCAATATTGGGAGTTGGGACCGCAAGGCGAGACGGATAGAGATGCAAACAGATGGATCCGAATCATATCCGGATCATTGACCGATCCGATAATACAAATAGGACCGAGTATAAGATCGAACAGGATCTGATGCATTTGCACAGACGAACCAAGGGACGAGTGGACAAGGTTTGGCCCTAAAGAGTATGTGGCGCAAATGGGTCGGGACATGATCCTATCCGAAATCCGATCTAGATTCGGATATCCTCGTTTTCAGATTTTTGGATCACATTGGAACGGATTTGGATCACCCCTGTCCCGTCCGACCCAATATATATAATTTATAAATACATTATTTATATTACATTTTTATAATTTTTTGGAAAAAATCTTAAACAGTAGTCTAAATTTTTAGGAGTTGTGTCAAGTCAGTCCATGAACTTCAAAACGTGTCTAAGCACTACCCTAAACTTCCAAATTGTATCTAATAAGTCTCCACCATTAATTGACCATTAGTTAACACATATAACATCAAAGGGGAATAAGGGTTACGAAACCGAACACCAATCAACTACTGAAGCTCCCGCTCCTTATTTTTGCATAATAAAACAAACTGTAACAATAATAATGAGCCATGTATGAAAATGAGTTAAAGCAATTACTTATAAATTTATAAAATAATACATCTTGGCTCACAAATATAGATCACTTCACCAATTTTCATTGCACGGGCACAACTGTGCAGTGGCAAATACTAGCCTTTGCTTCATTTCTTTGGTTAGGTTGCGTTTGGCATTCCTTTAAGGACTTATCTCCTTTTTGCAGTTAAAAACTTAGTATTCATATGAGCATTTTAACCGCAAAGATAAGTCCTTAGAATAAGGAATGCCAAATGCAGTCTTAATCATGGTGTGTAATAGGCAAAAAATCTAACTTCAAGTGAGACTTTTGGAATGCATTGTTACTCCCCACATCCCTATCTCCTCTAGCTTCGGCATTCCAACGAAGGGGCAGCCATGGGTTGGGTTTGATGGGGATAATAGGACCATTGGCCAGTCCAGGACAGGCTAAGCCTACTCCCAATATTATATATTTGGGCCTAGCCTAGGGATGGTAGTTCACAGGAATTCTCGGGTACCCAACCCGTCCCAGCCCTAATAGGCCTGTTTATCAAAACCCTATAGGGTTTGGGATTTTAGATTAAAACCCTATAGGGTTTGGGTTTTATCTTTAGGGTATCTGATACTCGATACTCGGTTTGGGTTTATGTACTAAGATAATTATTCTATTGTTGATATTTTATTTGTATAAATTTATTGGGATTAAAATTATCTTTTAATGTAAAGTTGGATTTGATAGATTATTTATTCTATTTGTTTATAAAATGCTAATTTTAAATATTAATTTTTTATTTTAGTTAGAATTGTTAATCATAAATATGTGTTATTTGTTTGGATGAACACAAAAATTAGTAAAAATTATTTTTATTTCATTTAATAACATAAAAAGCAAGATGGCTTAGTGGCTTAAAGTAGTGTTAAGAGTTTCAACACTATCATTAACTAACCTAGATTCAAATCACACTTTAAGCCTCAATGAACTTTTTTGTAGAAAATGTTAATTAACGGGTTTAGGAAATTGATGGGAAAAGTTAGACGAAATTGAGATGCGTTTGGGATCAATGGTACATAGACGGGTTTAAGAATGGGTAGAGCAATTTGCACAGATACCCATTGCCATTAACTTTTACATTAATGACATGTATTCTTCTCAAAATCTAAACCTAACCCTATTCCTAATTTCCAATATATTTCTTAGCCCCTGAAGATCAATGGTACATAAACGGGTTTGAAAATGGGTAGGGCAATTTGCACAGATACTCGTTGCCATTCCTAGCCTAGTGCCAAGGATCTTCAGGTGCTAAGAAAGATATTGGAAATTAGGAATAGGGTTAGGTTTAGATTTTGAGAAGAATACATGTCATTAATGTAAAAATTATGTTCGTGTGTGGTTGTGCATAAAACTATTATAAATGTTACCAACTCTCCTAACATACTTTATTATTACTTTTTGCCATATTTTAATTTTTTTTTCTTGGACTATACTTCTCTCTTCTCTCTTGTTACATACAAAGTCACATACTTAAAAGTTAAAACTAAGGCCTCATTTGCATAAATCTACGGTCCATGTCAGCATGGCTTTCCTTTGAGAGAAGCTATTTATCTATTTTCTCATATTTTCATTTGTTTTAAAAATATAAAAAAATAATCATTGTCATCAATAAAGCTACACACTATTATCATGTCATCAATAAAGCTTTATTACACGATTATCAATATATTATATATATTATTAAAGAGAGAGAGAGAGAGAGAGAGAGAGAGAAAATTAAGAATGTATTAATGAGAGAGGGAGAGAGAGAAATGTTATATTATTAAAGAGAGAGAGAAAGAGAGAATTAAGATTATGTTAATGAGAGAGATATTATATTATTAAAGAGAGAGAAATATTATTTTTTTGAAAATTGTCTAAAACTCACCATGAATTTTCAACATTTCTTGGACTAAAATTAATATTTATTGTATTTTCAGTAGTTATTTGTTGTATTTTTTGATAAATATCTTTTCAATAATTATTTATAATTCTATTTTTGTTTTTTATTTAGCACAAAATTATCAATAATTATTGGAGATTAAAAAACTATTATTTAACTTTTGAAATTTAGTTTAATGTATTATAATTTATTGATTAATATTTATTAGAAATTAAACTATTATTTGAGATTACACTATTTATTGACTAATTTACTATATTTTCAATATTTGTTTTTATTTTTGTAATTATTGTATTTTTATTAAATATCTATTATATTTCTCTTATAAATTTATTTTCAACAATTGTTTATTTTTTGCTACAAAATTTCAATAATTATTGGAGATTAAACTATTATTATATATTAGAGATTAGACTATTAATTTAGTTAAAATTATTTGAGATTGTAGGTTGTTTCACCAATCAAATTGACCTGATCAGGTCAGGAGTTTGTAACCCGAAATCGATTGGCCATTAGTGAAACCCGCCAACTCGGGTTGTATTGGTTTGGGTCTATTCTTGGTTTGGTTTTCTTTTTCAAAAGACTTAAACTTAAAAATTAAATTTAAACTTAATAAATTATAGTGGTATTATTAAAAAATAAATTAGAAATCAAACTTATGATATATACTATTATGGACTAAGAAATATGGGAATATTCCCACTTTCCCATATTAAAAATTATATTTAAAATATAAAATATTAATATATATCTATGGTCAGGTCGGGTTGGTTTTTTGTCGATTTACAAATGGCCAAACCGAAACTGACATAACTTTGTCAAGTTGAAAAATTGCTGAACCAAAATTGATCAAAAATACTAGAAAACTGACTAACTTGGGCCAAGTTTGATTGGATTGGTTATTAAAAAGTTAAAATATAAAACAATTATATACTCTTATGTATTTCTATTGTTTAGCTTTCACTTAACAAAGTCTGTGCATCGCATGGGTCCCTGCTAGCTAACATATCTAAAACTACACTTCATCATGAGTGACTTCTAACTTTCCAAGTTTCCATTGCCTCTTGTGCTTCCTTGACAAGACTTTATATTAGCACATAATTCCTCTCCTAGTTCCACTTTTGCCTTAGAGAAAGCATAGCTATGGGGGATTGTGAACAGTGTGCATATCTATTATATCAAAAAGAAAAAAAAAACCACTATAGCTGGTTCAAATATATTAAATCTATAAAAAAAAGAATTAGAGAGAGCTTATCTCAGCAAATCTTTAGTGTAACATGGACAAATCTCAAATTTAAATGGTAATATGTGTATGATGATTATGTCGATATACAGGGCTGAACCAAGGTTTTAAAAACCGAACTGGAAATGGAACTGTTTTGGGGACTAGTTCCTAGGTCAAATGGTCTGATCATCTAGTTCAAATGGATAGCCCATTCTGATTTAAAAATAAAACAATTAAAATAAAAAAATGACAAAAAATCGTTGTTCGAGTTGATGGATCGACGATTTGACCACTTGGATCAGCGTGTCACTGACCAACTCAATAGTTTTTGACTAAAGAGTGGTTTTAAGGTGAAATGGAACTAGTTGCCTGACTGGTTCTCAGGTCAACCGATCCAACCATTCGGTCCAGTTCGGTTTTCAAAACCATGGCTAGAACTACAACTACTGACTTTACCAACCAAATCAGTTGCTACATTCAAATACTCTTATTAAAAGTAGTATATAAAATATAAATAATTATTAATTATTTAACAAGTTAAAATATAAAACAATCCTACACTATTATGTATTTCTACTGTTTAGCTTTTGCTTAACAAAGCCCATGCACCGCACATGCCCCTACTAGCTTCTCATAAAGTGATGAGGACCATATCATCTTACATCCTACCTCACTCCCAAATGAGTCCAAATCTCCTAAACACAGGGTTTTGTGCTAAGTTGTACATTAAACATTGGTAATTCATCAAAGTTCTCAATGTTGGTTTTTATTGGTAAGGCCCTCAAAAGTGAGAGCGGGTGGTTATGGTACCAGAAGATTTACTTTTTTTAGCCCGATTACTGATCTAAACCACCCGTGAATTTTGATGAAGTCTCATTGGTTATGCACAACTTAGCACAAAGTCTTTAGGTTTAGTATATCCATATTCCAAACAAATAAACTTATTCCTATGTCTATTCTTTTTCATATTTAGTTGGTACCAAATTATTCTATTTGCCACAAACACAAACAAATTAATAAGAAAGTCGATTTGAGGCATATGTAAACCTGAATTTATACTCAACTTATTTGCATTTCCATACAATTATAAATTTGCACTAAAAGAGCCATATGTATGACATTTATCCAAAGGGGCTTGAATAACGAGCTTACCTAGCTTAAACACACTCTTCCCATCCAAGAGATTTATGGTACCTTTGGTTTCTGCGTTTGGGATGGGAAAAT